ACGATTGTCACGTATATAAGCGGGTATGCCTGCAATGCGATGCTCCCTCGAAAGCTGTAGTGATCTTTTCGACCAAGGCAACGCTTCTTGACTACAGTTTCTTCCATTTTCCAGAATTCGGAAACATTGCAATGTGGCGCCACAGTCCGGACTGCCTGATTTCCCCATGATGTTTTTTCTTGTTCTGAACATCATGTGGGTGTGTAGCAGCTCGGTATGCCAAAGTACTTACGTTCGCTTCAACTGAGCCTTGGTGTAGAGAATTTTCCTCTACGATGTGATACAGCTGCGGCATAACTTGCTCAGACGGAAGAAGCGATAGTCCTGCGAAGCGGGCAACCCCATTGAACATCTTCCCAGTGGCTTGGTAGGTGTATTCTGATCTCACGGTCAAGCCCATGGACCATTCAATCGGTTCCCCTCGGCTTGTGATACGCCGGATGAATCGAAGCACACGTTTCGTGATATGCTTCTCCCCAAAAGTTAAATTGCTTGCTGTATTAGAAATGTAGAGATTATCGGAAATTGACATCCTGTTCTTTTATAAGTCCATCACCAGCAGACCGACAATGGTCGATCATCATCGTTCTTTGCACCTCTCGTTCCAGGCTACAGCTAGGTTGGTGTGTATGGATACTAATCCCAGATCATGCGAAGAGTTAGACGAGTCAGAAGCATGGGAGGAGCTGGGAGGATGTGAAAAGCTGGATGCCTGCAAAGTTGTAGAAGCTTGCGAAGATGAAGAAGCTTGCGAATTTGTATAAGCCAAGGACCCGTGATGATGTCAAAACATATCTGATTCCCGGCTACATGGCAAATTGTATGGAATTCTCAAATCTGAGCAGGCAGGCCGACTTTCTGAGAGCGGATGCGTTTTCGTTCCGATAATGAGCATCCGGATATGACAACAGTCAGGAACCACGCTAGTTCCGCCGCTGTGCGAAGGCCTGGTATAGGCCTGGTATAAATTGGCCCATCCAGCAGATCTGAGCAACTTTCTTGAAGAGATTTCGTCTGGATCGACCATCTACGGCTGTGTATTATGCCAGGGACGTAAACTGCTCTCTGTGTCCGTTATTTCGACATCCCGAAAGGCAGTCTTATATTCTCCGCTTGCAGCTGGACAAAGAGATAAACCCCTGTACTCGAACACAGCGGTGGATATCGGGTTCTATCTATACTTGCAGCGCACATGAAATCTGAATGTGGGGATTACCGTGATCACAGTAAGCAGTCAGCGCTGTGACTATGAGGCAAGTACAAATGAACAGAACCACAGATAATGGCCGATAAGCCTTCGAGGCTAAAGTTGTATGGGTCTGTTCTGTTTGGGAACTTATCGTTGCTCAAATAGTCTCAGAAGAAGACCAAAACCTCGGACACTGGATCGACCTCCATTGCTGTATCAGATACTGAAGGCTGATCAGGAGGGCGGCCGATAGATGGGATGATAACCGCAAAAGTGTGAAGCCTTCATCGCTTGGTTATCCTCCCGTCCCTATAGCACGATCAGTGAAAAGTTAAGCCTCTTTAACTGTCTCCTTGGATTTTCGGATGCCGCTCAAAGCAGCTGGTATATCCTGTTTCGGGAAGCTGGTTCAAATGAGAGGCCTTCGTTCAGACAAGCATGCAAACTTGCCTAACACGTATCCCGTTCGCCACGCTCGACACAGGAAAGTCCAGATTTTACCTTCTTCGTTCCTCTGCTCCTTTTTCTCTCTTATACTGGAATCTATGTGTGCCGAGTTCAATAAGTGAGGCTAGTTCGGCCAGTGCCGAGGCGGCGGTCTATATTTCAATCTTGATTAATTCATATTTTTCGGCTTGCGAGATGAAGGGAGTTGAGAGGTGGCAATGGTTCAAATGGCTGTAGGTTGCGACTATTTCAACAACGTCGCATGGAGTACATGAACAGCATTCGCGTTTCGCAAGCACAAAATACCACAGGCTTGCAAATATACGTGCCCGCGAAGTGGGATGTCATAGTGTCCACTTGGCTTTTCTTCGTCGTGGGAGCATCTTGTATCTGTGTCGTCCACTGCTATTCTTTCTTGTAGAGGATTTCCCGCAGTCTACTGTTCAGTCTAACAGTATATTTCAGTGACAGTGATTTATACCGGAGTGCCACTTCCACACACTCCATTGTCTGTTCATGATTAGCGTAACCCCCAGTAATTGTATTGTCAAAAGTGTTACTGACGTGGTTCCAAAAGCGCTAAACAAGGGGTAACGCCTCCATATTGACCGCACATTCGAACACTACCCATCAGAATGACCACCAGATTACCTTCTACACATCAAAGAAAACGACATCTAGAATTTGGCCGGAACTCGTGATGACCAAGTGGTTTTTCGATTGCATCCATTGCAAGTTATACATCCTCTGGGTTTCCCATTCTTTGCGCGAGGAGAGGTCAAGAGACCATTCCAACGAATCATTCTTGATTGGAAGAGTAAACCGGGAGTGCAGACCTGCGGGTGATACTTGCATGAGTGCAATGACCGAGAAGCAAGATACACACCGAACGGTTTACATTGACTACTCAAGTAGTGTGACTCCATTGTAGAAACTTGAAATTCATCCATCTATTTCAGTGGGCTGCCGGACAGCACATGCGTTGGCAAATCCTATGTTGCCTTCCACTTCCATCAGCGAGCCACCGTATTCGACATAGAAGTGGTTTTCATCAACATGATCGTCCAGTGCTCATCGCGAGAACCACCTCAGCCGGCGGCAAGGCTTTTAGTCGAGAGACATTATCTGGTCATATAATGTACTTCGACGGGTCTCTGCATGCTAGGCGCTGCAGTGAAGAACTTGAGCTTGAGGATGTACCCGCACATATTGTCGCCGCTAATGGTGATACTGGGCATGGTCGCAACAATAGTCGTCATCGTGTCTGTGATGACAGGAGTATGTGGTGCAGTTGACAGCGAAGTTGAGTGGCAGTTCAGGTGTGTAAATCCGAAGCAGGAATCCAGTCATGGTGATCAGAAAGCACGGACAACAGGCAAACAAATGACTACCGATCGACTACGGTGACTCAATCGACACCAGAGACAAGCTGTCACTATTACTCATATTACAGGACTTCCAGAACTTGACCTTCACCGGCTGTACCCTTGACCTGGTGCAGCGAACCTCTGCCTGGGCCGAAACGACAWCCTCCCGAGCAGATTTTCTATCATTACTCAATGCTCCTATCGTCATTACTGTACATAAGACGCAGGGTACGCCCCAAGGGCTTTACTTCCCATAAACCTAGGCGGTGGTGGCCACCATCTGCACACCGATCCGAGAGAAAGAGTTGAAGATGAGCCAACCGAACGACGTTGAGACCATGCCGCCGTGGACGGCTTCACGGCCATGGAATATAGGATATACATTACTATGAACTGTGAGCTGCACTCCGCATGGGGAAAGGGCATACTCGCTGCGCTATCACCGACGTTACAGTTCAACAGCAGAATCCAACCAGGGAAATGTTTCGGGTGGATTGCTATGAGCACTACAAGTAACAGCAGGATGATGGCAAAGATCGTCTTAATCGCTAGTTGCCAGGCCCACCAAGATAATCTGGGCAGGAAGAGAATTTTAGCAAGGCACCGCACAGCGCCAGGGGGAAGAACCGACCCCAAAGTAGCACAGGAGTTCACTCGAAATTGAACCCCGTGCCTGGCAGACGACCAAGGAGCCACAAGTCGACTCTTGCTCTGATCGTTCAGCGGGATTTTCGAATCACATTACGTATGGTAATACACAATCGGGCGATGATCCCGTTCTCGTTGGATTCTCGAACTTGCACCTTCTCCGTCAGTGGCGGCAGCACCTCTCCCACATGTCACCCCTATCCCGTATTGCCGCGGTCAGTACATCTTGCTTCGATCGTAGTCTGCTTCGTTCGGGTCGTTGACTCGTTGCTACTCTCAGCATCAATGAGTCTCTTCTGGATGTTGACCGCGACCTAAGTGTGTATGCAGAAACAAATACGCATCTTTCTACCACATCCCCCTCACACTATACCTGAGCCAACCACGAGTTTCCTCCCGACATCGAACCCAGTCACCCACAACGATTGTATATTGATAGCCCACTTGACCGCTCGAATGATTTATACCCCATATCCAGCATGACTATCACTCTTGAGTCAGTCTGTGAGRAGCTCCTCCATCTCGCACACGACAACTGCGACATACACGCATGCCGGATGACTCTTACCAAGGCTGAATGCTCCTCTGTCGTGAGCTCAATCTGTAAGTATCACAGGTCATGCGCAGAGTATCATCGTACTGACAGCAGTCGGAGGATGCGGACTGTCATTCATTCAGTGGATGGGGATTTTTACTTTAGATCACAGATCTCGGAGAAGCTACCACTGGCGATGTTGGTCTTCTATCATGCGTGTCCCAATATCAGGAAGGTACGTTTCRCCTGATGGCCCACGGGTCTCTCGTGCGGCTCGTGTCTAGGTCGCTTGGCATGAAGCGCGATCCCCTACCATGCGCTACCACGGTTTTCATAGCCTTCCAGATCTAGAAGCCATGATCGTTCCTACAAGCYCATGGAATCAGTTCAATTGGCCAGGGCGCTTTACAGGACACATGCTGGGTCTCGGGTCCAGAATGCACCAGAGGTTCTTCACACAAATAATATGATCCTGTGGTCAGCTGGACCACGGAGGCGAAGCCCTTTTCTCTTAGCTCGGTAAACTTGCCTTGAGTATTGATAGCTCTAGACAGTATTTAATGACGCTTTRATGGCTCGAGAAAGACATTGATGACTGCTTGAAGCTTGGAGTAGAAGGTTTGCTGAGCTGAAGAATTTTCAACTTTACCATTCTTCAAATTAATAATAACTGCTACTATGTGAGCACGGCTCCTCAGCTAAGGTCTTGTAATTTATAGTTATTACGGACTTTCTCATTGCATTTCTCTATTTATGGGCAGACTTTGCCATCCTTCCAGTAGCGGGAGCACTTCCCACTAGAGCCAGCACGACACTAAACACCAGGATCTGCGTAGACCTTACAGGCGAACTTCTCACGGACGCAGCGGCCACAGGCAACAGGACGGGCCACACCAATCCTGTCCACGCGGCCAGCGTGGGAGAGGCGTATCTACATGGAAGTCGTTAGATAAGGTTCATAGTTCATAAACAATTCCGGACTTCAAACATACCTGGTCGGCAGGGGAAAGAGTCGACCAACGCCAATCAGCGACAGCAAAGTCGCCGTTATGCGGTTGCTCGACTAGCTTCTTCTTGTCCGCGCCACGGCGCAGCTTCGCCTTCTTCTCCTCCAGCTCTTCGAGCTCTTCGGACTTACGCTTTAAGTTAGGAGCTAGGCCTTTCGGCAAACTAGCACCCCCAGCCTTAAAGCTGCCGGGTTCCTCCGACGTAGCCTTGATGTTGTTGTTGTTGCTGCCGTGCAGCGGCGGCAGCGGGTCGTAGTCGTCGTCGTCGCCGCCAAAGAGAGGACCGAAGTCTTCCTGCAGCTGCTGCTGCTGCTGCTGCGCGCGGAGGAGGGCGGCGGCGGCGCGGGCAGAGAGAGCTAGGCGCGAGCCAACCAAGCGACGAGCAGCATTGCGGGCAGCCAAAAGCGCACCTATAAGAACTTGGTGCCGCTGAGCGGCGGCGAGCGCAGCCTGTTACTGTTGCTACTGCTAGGCGAGGAGGAGGGCGGCGGCGGCGGCAGCGTCGCGAGCGCGAGTGAGCCTTCAGGTAGTTAGCTGTCTGCTTGTCCGTCTGTCTGTCTGTCTGTCTCCGGTGAAGTCAAACTTCATAGAGTACTTACTTGCCCAGCGCATCGCTGGTGCGGTCGCGAGACCCACTCCACGACAAGGAGTTTTGATGCTCCATTTCAATCAGGAGCCACGATTGGAATCTCGCGGAGGGCACACCTGAATGCGACTGGAAAACAGGTTTCCAGGAAAAGGTTCCGAGAAGTGTTTCGCGTCGAGATCGAGAACACCAACACACCTGCCCTGCCGCTTAAAGCTTCCGAACGTCTATGAATTTGCATGCCAAGATTTTTTGGAAAGGGGCGACCGACGAAACAAATGATCGATTCAGGCCTCCAAACTATCGTCAATGTCAATATCATTGGCATGATGAGAGATTTATCAGAGTATTGGATAGCCCACTAGAATATTTATACATTGATCGATTTCATCTGCTTCTGTTGTAATGTCAGCATGCCTCCCCCATTGAATCCAACCATCGCAACAGATGCTCAGATGAACAGCAGACTACTCCAGATCGCTGCTCCGCCGGAACACTTACAATTGCTGTTAGTTAAATACATCCAAACAGTATAAAGGAAGGCAGAGCGATCAAAAGCGTATGTGTAAGCTCCAACTACTTACCGCCGCGACGGGGAAGCATCTTCGCGGCTGTTGATCGTCGTTCGCCAAGCAGAAACAATACAATATCCAAACAAGAACGTCAAACGCACTGGTACGTTTGAGAGCCAGTACCCCAACGCGGTTCTTCACATCCCTCCCTCTTTCCAATCCAATCCGTTGGACGCGCTGGAAAGCCTGGTCAAGTCAGCAAGGAGCACAAGGGTCGGATCACAGTAAACGTACGGCGTTCATTGACAGGTTGTGACGGACGCTGTCCTGCCAGCCGCGATTCTGGTGGTCTTTGGCCTTTTGGCTGTGCTGTCGAACCCACCTATAGAGGTCGCGAAGCGACATAATGTGGCCGGGCGTCTCCTTAAGACATCTATGCAAGAGCTGCGCATAGCACGGGTCGGCAGAATCTTGTAGCTTGGCCTCATCTTCATTAGCGAATATGTCATCCTAAGGAGGAAGACTCTGCTCTTGACGGTCCCAGATTACGTCCAAGTCTTGTCTGTAGTCTTCATCGTAGTCCAAGGAAGACTCTTGGCTCAGAAAGGGCTGATGCAGTCGCGATTCTGGTTCTTTTCGAAATTGAGCACTCCGAACAGATTCACCGGATGACGGATGATGTGGATGAAACAGAGAAAGTGGGCGGATAGTGAAACGAGGGCGGAGATTTGTATATGATGGCAGCACCAATAGAGGCAGCACCGGCCGCTGGCGGATGAGCCGTTGCGCACTTGGTTGTTGAATCGACCTTCCCGCAAGACGATGTGTTGCCAGAGGATGAACCGTCGTGCATTTGGTCGTTGGATCCACCTTCCCGCAAGACGACGTGTCGCCGCATGATGACCCGTTGCGCACCGTGTTTTTGGAGCGGCCTTGCCGGCAGCGATACGCTTCTTGCAGCGCCTGCCA